TGAAGCAGATCCAGGCCGATATTTCAATATAGGGTCTGCTCATGACTTCTCACGTGTACCGGTAGGCTGTGCTATCAGCAATGGACAAAACCAAATTGTCCATTGACACCACTCCTGAATAGCTTATTGGATTAGTCTTTCCCGGAGGCGCTGCGCCAGCCTTAACCTTCTCAGACAAAGAACTGCCGCTAGAAAGTTCAGCACATAACAAACCTCTATACATATCAGTTGAGTGCAGAGAAAAGTGGGTGTCAGTGGTGTTGGTCGATACTGGGTCAGCTATCAACGTCTGCCCATCTCGCACAGCCTATGCCATCGATCTGAAACCAGCAGATTTCGTGCCTACAGCCCAAGTGATTCGGGCGTATGACAACACTAGTAAGGAGGTGATAGGCACAGTACAGATCATAGTTCAAGTGGGCCCAGCTCAACAGGATATTGAGTTCCATGTCTTGGACGTGCCGGCCACTTTCAATCTATTGTTAGGAAGGCCGTGGCTACACCAAGTAAAAGTTGTCTCCTCTACCCTCCACCAAATGCTGAAATACCCCCATGGGAAGGGAGTGGCTATTGTGTTTGGGAATTCATCTATATATCCTCTGCCAGAGGTAACTACACCTGTGCTGAAAATTGTTCACGATGAAGAGGATGTATTCCTCTCTAGATTTATCCTATCTAAGGCCCGGGCAGTGCAAACCATCTTGGCAGCTGATGAGGGCTTGTATGTTAGTGCCCAATCAATTTACTTCATGAACAAGCTTCAACATACACCAGGAATGGGTTTGGGAAGAAGTGGCTAGAAGGGCGTTACTACATTGGCCGATGTGCCACATAACCCGCATGCCTTTGGTCTTGGCTATACGCCCACCAAAGAGGATTGGGTTAGGAAAGGGAAAGAGCAGGTAGAGCCAAAGCTAAGTAGACCGAGAAGCACTATGAGCTTGTGCATAGACCAATCTGGGGAACCCTGAATGGTCATTTTGTTCGGAAGGGAGAAGACTTCCCATTTTGCGGTTTCCCGGAACCCTGGTTTAACTCTGAGAAGTAGCGGGTTCTTGGTTTTGAAATTTTCTTCAACTTACAGCTGCAAGACAGTGATACAGAGGAAAGTGCTTAGCCAATTATTGCTGAAGCTGAACAGAGTACTGAAAGTGATTCTGACAGCAACGAGCTTGAAATAGGAGCATCACGGGCATGTCTCCTTTCGGATCCTCCAATCAACTCAGAGAGCTTGGGGGATAACCTGATCGTTTCCATGATCGGGGACCAACTGGGGGTGAACCCTTCTAACAGCATTTTGGATGTCTCTAATGCACCATCCCTCAAAAAAGCCAAAAAGCCCTTCTCAAACCAAGCTTTTTAGCCTAGGCTAAAATAGTCAAAAAAGCCAAAAAAACCAAAAAAATTCTATTTCCACCACCCTAATAAACTCAGGGAAAATCTTTTCTCAATACACATCTTTATTAATTTAATTATTAAGTAATTATCTCAATCCACATCCTTAAAATTACAAATAAATCTTCACTCATATGTACACACACTTTACCCTCAAAATACACACACTTTAATTTACCCCAATTTATAATTCTACTTCCACCCACTTTCGTGAAGACCAAAGTGACCCCAATTTACATTTCTACTTCAAACAGGAGGGAAGAAGAAGAAGTTCAAACAGGAAAAAAAAAAAAAAAAATCTGCACTTTTCTCACCTCCATTGAAGATTTCAAGAGCTCCATTGAATATCTACTAAACACTGTTGAAAACCTTGTTTAAGGTAAGAAATCTTTCAATTTTATTATTACATTTACCATTTTGTTATTAGATTGACAATTTTCGGATCTCTCTTCACTCCATTCGCATGAAAGTATGTTTTTCCGTGGCTGGAAGTGCTGTGTACATCTCGGCACTGGCTTTCCGAATATGTGTGTTTCATTCGGCACTTGATTTCTGAATATTATGTATAATTTTGTCCAATAAATTTCGAAAAAAATACATAACTTCATAGTTTGACTTCCGAATCTATTCTATATTTTTGGTGACCTTATGCCGAATAAATACAATAATTTCGGCACTTAATTGTTGAAATATTTTTGTAAGTTCGGTCCTGAAGTGCCGAATGGGTGGTGTTTTTTTTTTTTTTTTTGGCTTTAGAACTAGGTTACATAGGCCACCAATATTTGTTTTACTTTAGGTTCTTTTCCAACAATTTTATTTTATGGGTATGTTTATGTATTTATTTTTTTTCCCCAAATTGAATGCATAACAATAGAAACAAAAAATTGTGCAGTATTGGTATTTTCACATGATATTGTTAGCTTAGTAGTTGGGTCTTTATAAATTTTGTTAGCTAAATAGCTAAACAAAACAATCGCATTATATAGAGTATTAAAAGCTTGAGTCAATTTCACATCATCCAAATTGTGAATTTAATGGTCTATAACTGCGTATTAGATTTCATTAAGGTGGCATGGTTAGGCTACTTATTACCCGCATTGACGTGATCCTTTTATGGGAGTGCTTATTATGTTTCATTATATTGGGTTGATAATAACAACTTTTCTTATGCAGATGGATGTCGGTCCTAGTGAACGTCGGTCAGTAACAGCTTCAAACAGAAGACTCCGTGAATTAGAGAGACATGGACGTGGATGTGGACGTGGACATGCTCGAGTGCATGATGATGACATGGACATTGCCATGGATGATAATCCTATACATGGTGCACCAGTTATGGATGATATTGTTATGGATAATGACCCTACTGGTGATGATGCTGACATTGTTGATGAAGATATCCGTACTCAGCCATTTCTGGGAGGTCCAACTGATCCATTAATCCTTAAAAGTTTTAAAAGTCATGTTGCCGCAACTATTTGGAATGGTGCTGATGAAAGGGGGCCCTTAAAGTGTCATAATCACTCATCTAAGATTCGTTCGTGGCCGTGGTGGGAACAAGGAAACAACGCTACATTGTAAACATTGTGGAGATGTCAGGACTTGCACAATTAGCTCATTGCACGTACCGCTTTGTCAATAAAATTGTAGTGTCTAGTTTTGTTAAGAGATGGAAACCGGAGACAAACACCTTCCATTTGACTGTTGGAGAGATGACTATCACATTGGATGATGTCGCCACCATCCTAGGGTTTCCCATTGTAGGTAAATCTATTAGTGTGCGTAAGTTGTCAGAAACGCGGGCTGTTACATTAGTAGTTAATACCTTGGAAATTGATGAGCAAGAAGTCAAACATGAGATGTCTACTACTGGAGGCAATTCAGTGAGGCTTGAGTGGTTGAAGGCACATTTTCATAATGTCACAGACAATGATTCAATGAAAAGAATTGCATGTGCAGGTAGAGCATACTTGCTATTTTTGTTGGGTTGTACACTTTTCAGTGACAAGACTTGTACTAGGGTCCCCGTTGTTTATTTGAGTTTGTTGTCCGATTTGACGACTGTACATTCATATGCTTGGGGTGCTGGTACATTGGCATACTTATATAGACAATTAGGGTACGCTAGCAGGTCTGGCGTGAAACAAATAACCGGTTACATGACACTCCTTGAGGGATGGATTTATGAGCACTTTCGTGGATTCCGACCACACTTTAATATGAATTACACTCGAGACATGCCACATGTTTACCGTTGGACTTCTTGGAGACAGTGTGGTGAAGAGACATAGTTGCAGGCTTTTCGAGAGGAGCTTGATAGGTTGGGTGTACATGATGTAAGTTGAAAAGTCCTTCAAAATTTGAAACTCTATATTATACAAAATTTACAGTTGTCATATCTTACAATTTTTATTGTTTATAGGTTATTTGGGACCCATACCAGAGTTGCAGAGATGTCCATCCATGTCATCTAGTTACGTTCTACCACGATTGCTTAAAGTGTTTGGAAGTAGTTGAACCATATCACCTTGATAGAGTGTTGAGACAGTTTGGCAGAGTGCAGACAATCCCTAATCCACCACTTAGCCCTATGCGTGCTTCTCGAGGAGCCACAGCTCCATGCTACAATGTTATGTATGCATACTCGGACATCATTTGGGAGGCATGGGACAACCATGTGTATCTGATTGGAGGAGGAGTACACCAGTACGGCAACCTTGGGATTGTGTTCCTGGTTACATAGATTGGTAACAAACCATTACCCATATGTACGTACAAAACCCAGCCCGTCGTTCTCAAGTGGATCCGAATATCCATCATTATCAGTATCCTAGCCAAGACGCACAGGTATCCTTTTTTTCATTTAGATTGCAAATTATTTATGTAAACTGTTACAAGTTTGTACATAATGTTATATTTGTTCTCGTAATGCAGCGTATGCCACAGATACATTAGATTACTCATCCTTTCATTGAGGCTGGCTATAGGGACAGTGTTCAACATCCTGATAGGCTTTACTATGCGATTGATGCAATCGAACAATTTCTTCAAGATCAGCACATTAGTGAAGCTGTGCCCAACACATCCACTTAGGGTCGGTCTGCACCCAGCTCTTCCACTGCACATCGTTTTGGAGCACATTACACTCGCCGGTCACGTAGTTAATAATAGTTCATAATGTTAGCACAAGTAGTTTCTGATGATGTTGGTAGATGTATAAGGAGACAAATATTATTATTATCTTCGAATTATGTATCTTTTGGATTATGTACAAGCACACATGTCGTTTGTGATGGTGTGGATGGATTGAACTACTATTTAGTATACATATATTTTATTTACATACTTGTTTAATCTTATTACTTTTTAACGGCAATTGCACTTAGTTAATATTATTTTCATTACGTTTTGTGTTCAGACAATGTAAAAATAATATGACATCCATTCCATAAATTAGAGAACTATAACGCATATAATATTCTATTTTTTAAAACAAAACTGACCATTACAAAATCCAATGGCAAAATGCTATCTACCTCATTACTCTATACTAGTAAATCATAAAAACTAATGTCTTAACCCTCTCATTACTACTCTGTAATACCTCAATCTATGTCAACTACATCAAATGTCTCTCGAGTAGCTACATTAGGTCCGATGTTGTCTTTGAATTTTTGAACGCGGCTAACATATGCATTCTCCCATTTTGACGCACAAGGGTGATGGTGAACTTGCCAAAGCACGGCAATGGGAGGAACTGGATGACCGACTTCCAAAAACACCTGCACGTACATCCAAAAAATTACATATCTTTACCAAATACATAATTTGCAATTACACAAATATTAGACAACAATGTTTGGTTATTTTCATAACTTATACCTGCACAAAATGATTTCCATTGACAAATCCAATGGCAATCTCGCGACGATCAGCTAGGGTTACCGGTGGTGATCTCAAAGGTAAGAAAGTGAGACACTGTTGCAATGACAAGTGGTACAAGACTATATTATAAAATGATGCAATAAGATGCCCCATGTCAGGCATAGTCATTCAACGATCAAAGCCTGGGCTATTTTCAAAATATGAAAGGATGTGTGTCAGCTCCTTAACCCTCTCATGCGACCCATATAGTACGACGTATTCATCTCTGTGAGTATTCAATTCAAGTAGCAGATCACGCCTAACTTGCACCCAATCATTCTCTCCAAGACCAAGTAAACCTGCAATAGCTCTAAATCCACGATTCCCATCACCATCTACATCCTTCATCAACTTTATGAATGGTATTAACGTAGGCGGAAAGTTAGCAGCATATGTACTTGGTAAACTTGTTCTTGTACGATATGTCTTTGTCTTCACATTCCGCTTCTTCTCATGCACTTTTGAAACTCTCTTTTTCTTTGACTGATTGGAAGCTAATGTGCTCTGGCTATCATGCTCATCGTCAACCAACTCAAATCCACACGGGTCACGACGACAAGATATATCAATTTTCTTATGTCCTCGACGTGGATTAGGTTTCACATCAGGCTCAATAAGAAAAGTGCTTGCTGGATTTGCAATTTCCCTCAACTTCTTCAACATATCCAATTGCGTGGCAATATTAGACTCTTTGAACCGCTTTAAAATCAACTCAAGTTCTGGGACACAAGTCAATTCCAACTTCTGTTCCTTCGAATTATGCACACATATAGTAAGGCACGTCCAATGTACATGTATGCTACTGAGTGGAATAGGACGGCCTTGTCTCATGTAATCTGCATTCTCGTGAGCACAAGGTAAACTATGTGTGCGCCTAAGAACACACCCACATGTTGCAACATCAATTCCAACTGAATTTGCTCTCTTACTCTCTGCTAACACGTACTCCAATGCACAAATAGACACATTACCCCGGAGCTATCTGAATTGAGAAGGTTTGAATTGATGTTGTACAGTTGTCAAACTCTCTCGAATGATGCTTTAACTTGAATGTGCTGCAGCTCAAGTAGACAATGTATTTTTTCAAATGAAACCTCAAATGTCATTTGACTTGAACCTAATTGCCTTTTCAATCTAGCATGAGCACTCTCAACCCTGTTCATATGGATGTAAACCAAAATAGTCAAGCATAATAATTAAAAATAACAATATGATTTATAATAAATTTAAAAAAAAAGAAAAAAATCTTACCGATTGGTTGTAACATTGCCAAAATGCATACATATGTCTGTATGTACCGCAATGAATTTTTCTTGATACGGATTCAACCAACTCACAGTAACATATTTGATTGCCTCCGGATAGTTACTGAAATCCTTATGTAGTGTTGCGAGGTGATCATTGTATTCCTCTTCAGTCGATGACAATATCAAATAGTTCCATGCAGTGTTAAACTTGTCCCATTTTTCTTTTGTCTCAAACATTTTCTTGCATTTTGTCAATACATTCTTATTAATATGCCAACGACATAACAAATGTCGAGCATTCGGAAAGGTGTTGTCAATGGCATTCATCAAAGCAAGCTCTTTGTCTGTGACAATGACTTCAGGTAAAACACTGTCGTCCATAAGATCACTCAATGTTTGTAACGCCCATGCATAATTATCAACCCGCTTAGTTTGCAAGTATGCGATAGCCACGGAGAATGTCATATGAGTTGATGTTACTCCCACAATTTCAAGAAGAGGAAGCCGATATCTATTCGTCTTATATGTGCAATCCATAATCAACACACGAGGGAATGTACGAAGCAAATCCAAACTCACTGGATGTGCCCAAAACAAGTCTGTGACAGTCATAGAGCCTTCCTCACATCGATGACGCTCAATGTACTTATGTTTCGCTAATTCACCCAGCAGTTGTTGCATCTGGGATCTACCAGCTTTCTGTAGAACCCTACATCGATGTCGAACATTGTAAACTGTCTTCATTGTGCTCATATTAAGGGCATCCCTCTGTTTGAGTGTAATGAGTATTTCTTTTGGTCTTACTAGGCTCTTTGACATATCAACTAATAGTGACTTTTCATTAGTTGACAATCTCTCTGCATATGAATATCCTTGGAGATGCTCCACAGCTGGATGATTATGCAGCCTGCAAACTACATTCAATGTCCATTCATCGTTTGTTTTCAACTTGAATGCCCTCAAATCAAATGGACATTCGCACTCCTTCGTACCAGTTTGTCTCAATAAGTCTTTTGGGCCATCTTTCAACTTTTTATGTAATCTATACTTCCCACTCTGCTCACAAGCAAGATAAATTCTTGGTCTCTTACAACCGCCACCATAGTTCGACGTCCTTATAATAATAACAAAGCCATTTATCCTTCCAATGTCTCGTACCCAAGTGAGCAATTTATCTTTGTTGTCGAAAACCTATATATGATGTCACATAACTTTCATAAACAAACTAACTAATACAAATTTATGAATTTACAAATTTTATGTTAAAAATTACTTGTTTAGCTGTAAAATGGCTAGTACAATCCACCATAATATCCGATCGAATCTCAGGTTCTTCAGTGCATGCCATTTAAAGAGGAGGGGAAAAATTTCAATTCGATTCTACAGAGCCAAAATAAATAAAATAACTCGGCCAATAAAAAATGAAAATAATAACAAAATTCGGCATTCTAGGACTGAAAATATTAATTTTGTTCGGAATTATAGGACCGAAAATATTAATTTTGTTTGGAACTCTAAGATCGAAATAAATTAAAAAAATCATAATTCTAGTGCCGAACTATTCATATTATTTCGGTATTTGATAACCGAATTAATTTAACAAATTCAGCACTGCGTTTCCGACTAAAAAACACAAAAAAAAAAAATATTCCACGATTTTACCTTTTCAACACTGATTTTGCTGTCACCATTGCTTGAGTTTGAACTGTCATAGGTTTGCAACTCTTCCATATCAAAATCAAATAAAAATTATTGAACTAATAATTAAACGATATTAATAATTGAGTATAAACTTAAAGATTAAAGCAATAGAAGAGATGTTTTGTTTGCAAATAACATAGAGGAGTACATAGTGTGTAAGAAGCAAAGTGACTACAAAAGAAAAATTAGGGTTTAATTTTTTTTGTTTCAAAAAGTGTATATTGAGATATTTTTATTTCTAAAGGATGTGTATTGAGAATTTATATATATAATATTAGGAGTGTTGATCAATGGCTATTATAGTAATTTTTAATTAGGATATAATTGTCATTAATCTAATTTTTTATTAAGTGTGTTCACTGAGTTTATCAGGTTGGTGGAAATAGAATTTCTTCAAAAAGTCAAAAAGTCAACCCACTACCCAAACGGAGGTGGAGGCGGAGGCTCTACTGCCCTATGGTAAAATTACGAAAATGCCCACGGTTTCAAATCCTTTCAATCCATCTGTCATAGGCAAATTTCTAACTAGGGCACAACTTCACAGAAGAAGGCAAAGAAAAAGAAAAAAAACAGGGCTTGCATCAAGACGAAGTCGATCGGACCACAGATCCAGGCCTACATCACTTCCATAACGACGCTCACACAATGTACACGTCCCATTCGAACCTGTTTGAATCTGTGGTATGCATATTACCTCCTTCTTGTGAGGCGTTTGTTGAAATTGGTGTTTGTTGGTGACATTGGAGGCATGAAATCCCAAAGAAGGGCTTCGAAACCTTTTTTTGCGTAGCAACCATTTCTGATCATGCAACCAAAAAAAAAAATTTTGGTTTTTTTTTTTTTTTTGTTCTCCAAGGTTGAAATATGTGTTTCCCCTGGTGGTGTAAATTTTTTTTTAATGTATCTCGTAATCATTATTTTTGTTTTTTTATTTATTATTTTTGCACTACATATTACGCGCCTTCAAAATCATGCTTGGTTAGAATTTTTTCAAAAATTCTTTTCAAAATTTTATTTTCTTATTTTTCGTATTTTTTTGTTTTTATTGAATTTTTTTTTAATATTTTAAGTAATTTTTTTTTACTTTTTAGACATACCTAACATAAATATACTTAAAAAGTAAAAAATTTGTGAAAAAAACTTTTAAAAATTCATTAAATGCCAAAAATACAAAAAAAAAATACGAGAATTCCGTACATATTTTATATTTTTATGTATTTATTATTTTTAAAAAATATTTTTTCACAAATTTTTTCCTTTTTAGATACATCTAAGTAAGGTGCATCTAAAAAAATAAAAAAAATGTTTAAAATTTTAAAAATATTCACTAAAAACAAAAAAAACATGAAAACTAAAAAATTCAGTTTTCAAAAAACTTAAACCAAAAACATTTATAATTTTTTTTCCCAAAAAACATATTACTAGTTTGGAATGCATGGAAGCAAAAATTTGGTAGAGCTTTAAAATTATGATTTGATAATAGAATTGTATTTTGAGTTTATGAGTTTTGAAATTATGATTTGAGTGTAGAAAATTTATTTGGTTATGAGTTTTAAATTGAGTTTGAAATGAATGATGTGACATATGATATTTGATTCAAAAACTTACAACTTATAACAACACACAATTCAAAATTCTATTCAAAACTTATAAAAAAAAATTAAAAAAATTTGAAAATATTTTTTATTTAAAATATAAAAATAACAGGAGCAAAAAAATAAACAAAAATCGAACACTGTTCCGATCAACCGGCCAGACGTTCGAGAGGACGACTAGATTAGTCAAATTTTCCCGTCTGAAAAGGAGTTTTCAAAAGTGAGTATGGAATTATAATTTGAAAGCTCAAAATAAACACCGCACTTAAATCAATGGATAGAAATGTGTTTGGAACACCTAAACAAACACTGTGTTGCTTGGGTTCTGTTCCCCGGTGGTATAAATTTTTTTTTTGTTACTGCATTTCATAATTGTTATTTTTTTCTTTTGTTTGTTATTCAAAACATATTACACACCTTAAAAAAATAATTGTCTCAATATTATTATTATTATTATTATTTTGCAAAAAACATATTACTGGTTTTCAGATGCATGGAAGCAAAATTTTCACAATTATTATTATTATTATTTATTTATTATTTTTGTCTAGGTTCAAAAAAGTGTTTCCCCCGGTGGTGTAATTTTTTTTTTTAATGCGTTTCATAATCGTTAATTTTTTTTATTTTTTGCATATCATATTAGACAATATAAAAGAATAATTGTTTTATAATTCAGTTTTTTGCAACAAACATATTACTGGTTTTGTTTGCAAAAAATAATTATTTCATAATTTTTTTTTTTCATGTGAAACACAAATTTTGTTCATAGTTGTTATTTTTTGGTTTTTTTTTTTAAAATTTTAATTTTTTTTTTTTTTTTAAAAGGCAGTATAATATTTTTGTGATGTGTATCCATTGGTAGAATTCATAATCAAATTGTCCCATTTGTAACCTAGAATAAAAGGCTTCATACTGTTGTGTTTTTTTTTTTTTCCCCCAATTTTTTCCATCTGAATGAAATACAGGGGACAAATGATAATTGAAAAACTTTATGAATTTGCGGATCTCCATTATTATTATTATATTCTTTTTAATTGAATGCCAATTTCACAAATATATGTCCAAAAAAAAAAAAAATCTAAATGTCCATACCTTCTTGTTTTTTATTTAATACCAACATTAGTTGTTTGTTGTATGAATTATTCCCGTGTTCATGAAAGACATATTGGAAGATGGTAATCCATATGGTTCATATGAATTTTTGTTTCCTGTGTTATCATCATACACGGGGAATTTTTTATCATCATTCCTACTTCTTTATTTGATAGAGCCTAGCCAGAAATTTGCAACATGCTTGTCACCCAAAATCCTAAAACACCAAAAATGGACATACAAAACACTAGAAAGCGAGTGTGGCTTCTTTTAAGCAGCACAAACTTTAGAAAGCAAGTATGGCTTCTTACTACTTGTGTAGTTCTTGTAGTCATTATAAGTTAGAAAACAAAGCATGGCTTCTTTTATGTAAACTGGCACATCTACTAAATGGCCACATCGGATGTGTGCCTATGGCTATGGGCAATGTCTTGTCAAGATATCGAGATCTAACAAAAATTCAGGGTGTGCTTACAATCTATGTGTTCATATTGTGGTGAGTAAACAGTAAATTTTTGGTGATAATTTTTATGTAAACCGAACCCTTGAACTATTAACTTTGTCATTTTTAATTGTCAGCAATGTTTAAGGTCGATTGGTTGGTGTAATGAAACCCCCGACTATGAGTCCTCCACTAACGACATTGTTATGCACTTGTGGGATGATGTCATTCACATTCAACATATGCTGCTTATCTTGAAAATTATTGTTTTTGTGTTGTGCATTGTCGTTGTGATTTTGTTGTTGCGTATGCAATGCAATTGACATTTTCTATGCATTACTGTTGCAAACTTGGAATGTAATGATTTATATATTGTAATATATTTCATTTCTTTTATGCATGACAGTTATATGTATGTAATTGGGAGCTACATATATGTTTGTGTTTATAGACCAATTACGTATTATTATTTGTATTATGTCTCTGTGCTTTTACCTATATTGATGAATTGGGTTCCGTGAGTACTACTTATGCTTGTAAATCAGTTACTTATGCTTTCATGTATTTATGCATAGTCGTGATGGCTCCCACACGTACTTCTCCATGTACCCCTTCAAAAAGAAAAATGTTTGGTGGCCACAATATTCGCGGCTCAAATGGTTCGAATTGACCAAAACGACGTCGTTTTGTGTTGTTTTGTGTTCAAAACGACGTCGTTTTGGTCCATTCGAGCCATTCGAGCCTGGGAAATTCGAGCCCTCTAAGTAATACTGCTTCAAAAAATAAAGGGATTGATTTGGGTGGACCAGTCATTAATGACGACACAGACCATTTTCACAAAGCAGCTTGGTATACTAATTCCACCAGGATTTTCTTAGAACTCATTCCCGACGAGATTATTGAGGGAAAATGACCATTCATAGTACTCAGCCCCGTTGGGTATAAGTCTTTGGAAAAAAAATTTGAAAAAAAAAAAAAAAAAAAACACTAGCAAACAATTGAAGAACAAGTATGCGAATCTGGACAGAAAAAAAAAAGTAAAAAAAGTTAAAAAAAAAAAAAAAGTGGACTGCTTGGAACAAGTTGATAGATAGTAGCAAATGAATTACAGGCATTGGTCTTGACAAAGAGACTGGGTTATTTCAGGCGTCAGATGCATGGTAGGAGAAAATGGAAACGATATGGTTTTCATATATATATATATATATATATTGGCACTTAAAACACTTGTAGCTCATTGCACTCTATGATTTAAGTGCTGTTTATTTCGATTTTTAACTTCTTCTTCTTTTTTTTTTTTTTTTTTTTTTTTTTTTTTTTTTTTGTGCAGACAAACAAGGCTTGTGCAAAGTTCAGGACAAAAACTTTGGAGAATCAGGATTTGATGGAGATTGTGTTTTTAGGGTTACTGTAACTGGTAAAAATCATTGGACCCCGGGCGAAGAGGCGGTCAAAGTTGGTGTAACAACCTCGATCTATAATTAGCTAATAAACCATGATTAAGAATTCCTCATAAGTAATTAAGATGAAATCTTAAGTTAATTGCATATGTCATGTGTTATTTGTGTTTATATCTGTCTGCTGTAGGAATATCTGTTGCTTATTTGCTTGAATCTGTAAATTGAAGGCCTTATCGGCTATCGAACATGAAATTGACTAGGCCAATGTATAAATTAGAATTTTTGGAATATTATGGTAAGTTTAATTAAAATTCAATTTGTAATCAATTAATTAGAATAAATTAAGTATTAAGTTGAAGTCATTTAGTTCTAATCATAATTAATTAGCTTAAGTTAATCAAGCCTATATAAGGTTAGGCTACATTCTAGTATCACTTCATTCTTCACTTTCCTTGATAAAAAATGTGTGTGAGAGAGAGAGAGATTGAGTGAGAGGAGAGT